CCACTGCAGGAGTGGCGGGAGCCGGGCGCCTCTTCTCACACGACGTGCTCCGAGCCATGGCTGCCATCAACGAGCGGCCCATCATCTTCGCGCTCAGCAACCCCACGGTGAAGGCCGAGTGCACGGCGGAGGAGGCCTACACGATAACGGAGGTGTGTGAACTGCAGTGGGGGCTGCTTGGTGGGAGAGCTCAGGCCGTTCATTATCACTGGGACATCACAGTGCTGGTGTTCCTTGCCTTCTAACACAAGTAGATGGGGTTTCAAATGGATTTGATGAAGCAGGGCTTGGTTTTTAGGTAACAACATTTCGCAAAGCTTAAAAAAGCTTGTTACCACTTTTTGTTACCGCTTTTCTGAGAGAATGATCACCGGTACTGTTACATGGCTGTGCTCAGTTAACTGTTTYTCACTGCTCTGTTTAATTATTTTGTGTTTTAATGAAGCATGACAGCATCGTTATAGGCCTAAGGGCGAGCTGTGACATGGAGTGCAGTCCTTGGAGCAGGTGATGTCCTTGCAGCAGTGCAGGAGCCGTGCTGGCGCTCAGTCTGGCAGGTGCCATTAGCACTGACCCGTGGGGCCCTGTGCTCCCGGGGCAGGGCTGGCCTCTGTCCCCTGTCACAGGGCTGTGTGACGTGCACTGGCACCACCACACGGCTGGAGGAGCCAGCTGGGAGCRCACACACCTCGGAGCCAGGACACCTTGTGGGGCGTGCACACTGCACTTTGGGGCTGGGTTTTTGCCCAATAACTCTGTTGTTATCCAAGGAGTGCATCCAGACCTGAGTTTTGCCTTTATTGAGGAAAATCTTTTACCCGTGGGCACAGCTCTTTGGTGAAGCTGATGGCCGGTGAAGGGAGCCCGAGGGGAAGGTGCTGGGGGCACAGAGCACCTGGAGCAGCTCACAGTTCCTGCGAGCCTTGGAACTGGGGGTGGTGGCTTTCCTTGACACTCAGAATGCAGCTGGTGTCACCACTGTCCTGGCTGCTGGGCCTGCCTGCTGACTCAGGGCTGGGGCTGGTGAAAGGACTGCTTTTGTTTCTATTTCTTTGTTTCTAAACAGTCCCAAATCGGGTGACTCGTTTGAGAATGGGGGTGTGGAGATCTTCCCAGTGTGCTGGTGCAGGCTGTGAGCTCCTCCCTTGCGCTGCTGGCGTGGCTCCGTTTCCAGCGTTGTGGCAGTGTCAGTGTCACACGGGGCGGGTGGCACTCTGCTGTCCCCTCTGACACCCACGTTCTGCTCTGTGTTCCCGGGCCCATCAGCTYGGGAGGAGCCCTGGAGCTGCGGCCTCGGGACAAAGTCCACATCTTATCTTCTAACAGTACAGTCACTGGGGCTGGAAAAGGCCTCCAAGGACATCGACTCCAACTGTTCCCAGCACGGCCAAGGCCACCACTGACCCATGTCCCCAAGTGCCACATTCACATTGTTTCAGGGATGGGGACTCCACCCCTGCCCTGGGCAGCTGTGCCAGGGYTGGAYMRGCCYTT